TCTCTATTTCTCGATCACGTGTCGCGCTTGTTCGACATGCTGGTGGAAAATCACACGTGACTTGTGTGAAGCGCGTCGTCGAACGCGTCGTCGGCCCGGCGAAAGCAAAAAGAACCCGACGAAAAGTGTGAGCGCATGCATGTTGCGGTGTTGGTTGCAAAGATCGACACCCGCCCCATTGCAAGCGCCCGGCCAGTATTCGGCGCGAGCATATGCGCCGCCAGCACATGCGCGTTCCTGATGGTCAGGGTTCGCGATCGACAAGGGCGTTGCTGCTGCTACGTGCTGCATCCATTCATTCGTTCAGCAATATATACGGTACGCTAGCGGCGTGAGTTGTGTCCTTGAGATGCGATCGATGCTCACGTCTGGCGCTTGAAAGGGTGGTGCTAGTCGAGCCTGGTCGTGGCTCGTCAGAGCGCGCGCGTTCAGGAAGCTTGAGGGGCACGAGGATGGTAGAAAACATCGGCGTTCGGCGACCACGGCTTTGAATTGGGTACGCCATAGAAGAGTGATGGATCAGATGGACGCATCCCTACCTACGACGACTTGAGAAGCAGGACAGTGCAGCCTCTATTCGTACCAGAAGGTCTGCATCGTGGCTGAAGAGCCCCTTTTTGCATCATGTTACGGCCTCTTTCGTGCAGAGATACACTTGTTCCGATGCGTTGGACATCGAGTTGGCAAGCCTCGATCAAAGTGACTGCAGTCTAAGATGGAATGAAGCGACAGGTGCTGCGAGGTTGCACACCGGTACATGTGTGATTACGTGACTTTCGATACGTTGTGCAGATCGATCCGGATCCTTTTCAGCAAGGAGGGCTACTCCTGAAAGAATGCCGCGACGGCTCAAAGTCCTGTATTGCTGGCACAGCTCATCATCGCTTCGTGCCGGCTGCTGTGGAGCGGTCAGAGAGAGTCTAGAGTGCCAAGTCGTGCGACCTCACACCACACCTGCGCCAAGCTCATCTTGCAATGACTCGCTGCGCGTCTCGCAAGTCGCAATACACATCGCACGGTGATTGTACAACCCGGCCGATACAGTGACGCGTGATGGTGCAGCGGGTGAGGGAGAGAGATGCACGACTTGATGTGAGCACAATGCTGTGCATCACACGCACAGGCCACAGCTTGACCTCACCTCGGCACATGTCATCACTCATCACACCACTTTCTCCGCAAGCAGGAAAAAGGTGTGGGAATCGATTCGCAAATCATCATTCATTTTGCCGAACTCATGCGATGCGGGAGCTGAGCTGTGGTGGGGAGGGGGGGACGTAGAGAAGAGCTGTGGAGTTGTCTCGAGCGCTCTCAGATGAGAACGGGAGCTGCATGCGTGGCATTGCCAGACTTCGACCTGTACCGGTACATGCATGCTGGCAGCGTGACCGGTTCGGCGTTTGGCTTTTGTTTGGTTTCGTTTGTTTTGCAACTGGAAACTCGTTCGACATTTCTTGTGCGAATCGCGCGGGATCCAGAACGCGTACATCGTCGCCAGCAACGTTCAGCTGACCACTTCGCAATGGGTACCTCGTAGCGGATTTCAGATCGCCGCTTTGGGTTGCACATGGTCGTATTGGTCACAAGTAGTATGGATAAGCCGTTGCTCGATTTGGGCTCATTTGATGGATGAGGACCGCGAAGGGAAGCATAGCAGCAATTGCTGCT